TGATGAGACGTGCACGAAACATCACCCCTGCAAAGGCGAGGTGTGCTGAGGCCTCCTTGTCGAGGTCGGCGCATTGGGTGACTTTGGTGTCAACGATACCGCCACGGAAGGGTTCTGAGCACGCATGTACTCCTGAATCTTCTCCACGTTCTCATCCACGCTCTGGGAGAAGCCCTCCTGCGGATTAAACACAAGATGGGTACGTGGTACGGCAGCTGTGCTTCGCTGGTCGACAAAACTCAACGATGCACGCTGCTGCGCGGAACGTCCGCGCGATTCCTCCCTCGGTGCCAGAAGTTCGCAGAAGTGAAAGAACATGCCCGTGCCAACAAAAAAACAATACTGCGCCCATCCCAGATTTCTGGCGGACCGATTTGTGCAATCGCGTAGGCCTCGACCCTTTCCCTGGGGACCATTTGAATTCCAAGATAACTGTCCTACCATACCTGGGACCGGAAATGGGCATCCCGAGGCCAGAAATCCAGGAACCCGGATCACGACATCGAAAGTCTGGGCCACGCACAGCCCCCAGCGCCCAGCGGGACCAAATGCCGACGGCGCCACCCCGCAGAGTGGGACCGCCTTTGTCCCGCTCCCCGCTCGCCCTCCTGTCTTGTTTCCGAGAGGCATGTGTGTCTCAGGACGCCGCTCAGAGGGCGCCGCCATGAGTCATGCACGCGGGAATAGACATGACGAGGGGGGCGGGCTGCCTGGCAGAAGGCATGCGCGCGGGAGTAAATCCTCGACGTCCGTGGTGTCCGTTGAACAGGGGCCGACCGTCCCGGCATTCCTATAATCCTACCACGAAATGGTCTGAGAACCCAAAAATGTTCTAAGAACCAAAACAGTGTTCTTAGAACATAAGCCCGATGCATTAAAACAAGACAGTCCCAGCCAGAAGTGTTCTGAGAACATGTCGTGGACGCCACAAAAGGTTCTTAGAACATTGTTTGGTAGGGATATAGGCGAGCCAAGAGAGGAGGAGGAGGAGGAGGAGGAGGAGGAGGAGGAGGAGGAGGAGGAGGAGGAGGAGGAGGAGGAGGAGGAGGAGGAGGAGGGAGGAGCAGACCCGGTCTGGCCGGTATCGGTGCGCTTCCCCGCAGACGCCGGCCGCGCTCCCCGGAAGCAGCGGCCAGCGCTCAGAGCATCTGAGGAGGTGAAGGCTCTGAGACCCCGCGTCGTGAGTACAGCTCGGCTGCTGAGGCATAACAGGGGATGCGTCGACCCCTATCCCAGGCTCCGTGAGGTTTCCAGAGGATCAACAATTTGGGGCCCAACCCTGGGATATACGAGGGGGGGGGCGTCCATCCTCGGCAGGGGTGCGTCCGAATAGCCCCCTCGGGATGTATCCCAAGATTCCTCCCCTTTTCTGAGCGACCAAACTTTTCTGGCGGAAGTCGGGGATTGGGGGAGAGAAATCGCCTGCGAAAGCAGGGAACGGTCAACGAGGAAAGAAATCCCTCTCTGGCCCGAGCGCGCCTGCGTGCACGAAGAGGGCCAGAGGAACAGCCGCGGAAAGACCCAGTGAACATCGGGCTTCTTCCGAACCCAACCTGTTCCTCATCTCAACGTCTTGGTTGTAACCGCGATGCCGCGAACAAAAACCACGAACCGAGCCTTCGGCCCAAGCTCTGTGCCGCACTTCTCATGCCGGGACCCCCGTGAACGTCGCGTGCCCGAAGCTGGGGCTGACACGCCCGGCCAGACTTCTGCACTGCGCCGAGATCTGATGTGGGGCAACAGTTCAGGGGCAACTTAGCGGTCCAGCGGCGCTGGCGGTGCGCGGGGCACCACGCAACCTCATGATGGCGCCACGGGGAAGCCCACAGCGCTAACGTAGCATCTAGGGGGACGCAAAGGTCAAATATTTCGAAGCAATTCTCCATGAAACACAAATCATTCCTGAAATCAACGAGAGCACTAAAAGCCATGATATTGAAGCTGGTTGTAAGTACCTTCCTGCAGATAGAGCTGAAGCGAGCAAGCGAAAATTGACACACAAGCCCCTAATCAAGCCCTAGCTCCAACTACGTGAAGCGATCTTGTACACCCAAAGTGGCAACTACGATTAAACTTACACGGAAACACATGAGCACAAACTGTGACTGGCGCAAACGCACTGTCTACTGCTAAAGCTAGAGCGGATGACCAAACCAAAGCTGCAACTGCATCTACCTATACCTTACGGCCACCATGACACGCAACATCTGTAGCACCAGCGAGACGGACAACACTAGTTGAAGCATACGCTTCAGCAAGTGGGGCACCAATATCTCACACTCACCATGCGATCGATGCTCCCCACCCCCCCCACGCCGACTTTGACACCGGCGAGGGGAGGTGGCGGATGGAGGGGGTACGAACCCTCCCCTCCTGCCCCACTTTTGAAGTAGGAAGGTTCGAAACCCCTCCCTCCCTTGACTTTCTCCCAATACACTCGGAATACACTCCGTCAAACAACGGAATGTCGAAGGCGCAATGTCAACAACGCACATGCAACAACGCAATGTCAACGCCGGCGTTGCTACGCGAGCCGCAGAGTAAACAGCCCAATGTAAATTAGGCAATACAACTGCACGGTGTCAAAGCCGGATTGCTGCTGCGGGCCGCGCGCCGTCGATGGCGCCTCGCCGCTCTCAACAGCGCGCTGTAAGCAACGCATTCGAAGCATCCTATGGTAAAGAACGCAGCGTCAACAACGCAGCGACAACACCATAACGTAAACAACGAAATGAGGACAACGCCTTGCTAAGCACGCAATGCAATAACGCAGTGACAGCGACGCAGTGTCAACATTGCAGTGTCGACAAAGCGCCGCAGCTGCGGGTCGCGCATCGTCGGCGGCGCGGCGTCGCTGTCGATAACCTCGTGTCACCCTCGCAATGTCAAACACGCAGCGTCAACCCAACAATGCAATGTCAACGCCGCAGTTGCGCCGAGCGCCGAGTCGTTCACGGCGCGGTGATGCTGTGACGGCTTTTCGCGCTTCCGAACGTGCTATACGGCCCTGAAGGTCCTTAGATCGGCCCAGGACGGCCCGAGAAGCCTCTAAGAGGCCCTCAAGACTGCGCAAGAACCCATCGCCCTCCAAGAGAACCCAAAAGGCCTCCAATAACGGACTTACAAGAGCTTGAGAGGGGGACCCGAACTCAAATTTCGAGCCCTTCCCAAAACTATTGCCTTCGAGACCGTCAGCAGGCCTCCAAGGATCCCAAGACATCCTCAAGACGCCCAACACAAGCTCCAAGAGACAACACAAATGCCCGCAAGGGGCAACCGACATATTTCCCAAGAGAGCCCCCCCCCTGACAAGACGACCACCGAGGACGACGACCGAGGACGACGACCCAGGACCATCACACTGCTTTGTCTACACTGCGAAGAAGGACGCTGCACACTTGAAACCAAGGCACACGGTTTGAGCTGCTCGCCGTATGTCCGATGGAAGGCAACACTCGATCCTCTCCACCTCCCACGCCCATCACTCGCTTATGCCACCGTCACAGACATGCACAGTATACAAGTATGGTCGCTGCTTCATGCGACAACGAGCAGTCCGAATACACCCCGCAGGCACTGACACCACACACCTATCCAAAACATTACTGGTTCAGCGCAGCTCCACTTTGACCAGCGTCTTCTCGACCTCGTAAAGCAGAAAGTTGACGTCGATACTTCGTGCCTGGGCGTACCATCACCAAAGGACAGCTAAGTCACCACACGGACGGGGATGGGCAGTGGTGCTTTGAGGCGCATGCAAACGACTTCGCGAACTCCGCATGTCCTGTATACAGTCGGTGTGCAACTAGTTCGGGCGATGTTCTTCGTCCGCTTACTCTTGGTTAACGAAACAGCACTGCTGCGTCGCGGCAACGTGTTTAAGATGGGTGTTGTCCCCACTATCTGTGTGACAGATCTGAGACTCACGAAACGAATGCCCGCGTCCACTGGCTCGACGACGAACCACTCAGCGGTTCAAAACAAAGACCCGACGCCATTTCCAGTGAGGAATTGATGCGGGCTGTGTGTGATGCCATGGTGAAGGGCAATGGGGAAGCTGACTGGCTGTACGCATCTGGCTCTGAACATCGAATACTGGGTAGTCGAAGCCAATCTGGCGCCAATCTGGCAGGCCCAATCTGGCAAACGGGGGCAATATGGCGAGGGAGCCAACGCGAATCCAGTCTGGCGAATAACCCAAATCATCCAGTTTGGCCAGGCCAGATTGGCCCTTGGGGCCCAATCCAATCTGACAGTCTGGCCTTCGACTACCCAGGAATAAGTCTAAGTTGAGCCGTGGCACGAATTCGATTCCACCCGCCCTCTCGCCACACCTGCCCGCTCGCCGCGCCAGCCCTCCCGACATGACTCTCCTCCATTCCCTGACCTGCGCATGCTTGCTGCTGCGCATGTTGCCGACACTGTCCCCGATTCCTCACTCTTCCCTGGGCAGCGACCGTCGCCGTGCGCGCCATGAAATGTGTTGGGCAAGAGGTGCCGGCGTTTCGCGTGGGACATCATCCCTTTTTATGGGCCTAGGCTGAGGTCGGGCCTGTCCCCCAACAGGGGGCTTTTGGACGGAAAAGTGAGGATAGTGCAACAATGCTCCATACATAGGCAAAAATACAAGCAACATAGTCCCCAGACCATCTTTTATGACTATTCTTGACTATTCCCCCTGTAGAGGGGCAGTCCCGACTTAAGCCTTCGGGGATCTGCTGACCCGGGTCAATCCAGACCTGGGTCAGTCAGGCCGTGCAGGATCCTGCAAGATCCTGCAAGATCCTGCAAGATCCTGTACCCAAAACTGGGTCAACGCGAAGGATCCTGCAGGATCCTGCAGGATCCTGCACCCACACCCGGGTCAATGCGCCCCTGGCCCTGCAGGATCCTGCAAGATCGTGCGCTCTGGCCGACCCCCGTCTGCAGTGACCCCCGTCTCAAGGCTCCCGAAGCCTGGGCCAGACACGCCCACCGGCTGCATGCGCAGAGGGCGGGCCGTTCTCAGACACACTGGGCTCCCGCATGGGAACTCGCTCGGCGTGTGCAGCGCGTGGCGCACGCCGAGTGCGGCCTGCGCTCCCACGGCGACGTCTGCCCGGGATGATGATGATGATGATGATGATGAGGAGGAGGAGGAGGAGGAGGAGGAGGAGGAGGAGGAGGAGGAGGGAGGGGGGAGGGGGGAGGGGGAGGGGGAGGGGAGGGGGGAGGGGGAGGGGAGGAGGAGGAGAGGAGGAGAGGAGGGAGGAGGAGGAGGAGGAGGAGGAGGAGAAGGAGGAGGAGGAGGAGGGCAGCTCCTCTCCATCATCGAGCTTTCGATTCAGATGCCCTCCATTCGCGTCCCGAAGCCGCTTTGAACGTTCTGACAACCGCGTTGATAGAGGGCGGCGCCTTCTGAATATCGAGTTTCCACTCTGGACCTCTGCGCATGGCCCCGAGACCTGCTACGTGGAAGCAGATACGAGAACGCATGGCGGTTCGTGTGCAAAGCAGCGGTGTCCCCTCGGCGCGCGAGTGGATGCGCAAAGCTCTTCCAGTCGAGTGGATGACGGTCTCCCCCTCGAACTCGAGGCGTTTCAGCACGCCGCGCTGCCGAAACTTCAGGCGACCGTTGATTCAGACTGTGATACCCGTATCGTTCTCTCCCACCCAACTCTGCGACTTCCTCTGCCAGGTCATGAGGTTACGACTCTGCCCCACATCCCAAACTGCTGGCAGGGCTATCATCATATAAACACTACATGATACCGGAGGAAAGTTCTACTTAGAATCTTGTTAGGACTATAGGGCTACAGGGCTATAGGGCCATAAGGCTATAGGTCTATAGGGCTATAGGGCCGTAGGGCTATAGGGCTGTCGGGTTATAGGGTTATGGGGATATGGGCTCTGGGGCTATGGGGCAATAGGGTTATAGGACCATAGGGTTATAGGGCTATTGGGCTATAGGCATATACAAATATAGAGCTACATTGCTGTAGGGCTGTAGGGCTATAAGGTTATAAAGCTATAGGGCTATAGGGCGATTGGGCTATAGTGCTATAGGGCTATATGGCTTTAAGGCTATGGGGCTATATTGCGTTAGGGCAATCGGGCTATAGGGCTACAGGGCTATGGGGCTATAGGGCTACTGGGCTATAGGGCTATAGGGCGATAAGGCTATAGGGCTACAGGGCTATAGGGCTGTAGGGCTATAAAGCACCCGGGCACCCAAGCACCCGGGCACCAAGGCACCCGGGCGGCCGTGGAAATCGGCGGCACACCTCGCGTAAGCATACGAATCCGCTAGGACCCCTACAGAGGCAAGCCCTGATTGGAGAACATATCCCATGTCAACCGCCAGTGGCAAGCCCACAGAGCGTTCGCCATTCCAGAGAGAGAGAGAGAGAGAGCTCGCAGCAGCCAGTGGAGAGGAACGCCTGCACTGACATATGAGGGGGGCAGCCGAAACGGGAGTGCGTCTTGAAGCATCTCGTGTGTGTGTGTGTGTGTGCTGGGCTGACCCTGGGCCCCCTGCCTCTCTTCCTGCGCCTGGCTCCTCCCGTTCCTGCCTCCCCTCGTCCTGCAGAGAGGTCCCTGAGGGGCCTCCAAGAGTACGGTCGAGGCGTTGCCCTAAGGAACCCCAAATAAGGAACGAGGCCCCTATTTTCCATAAGTTGAACTTCGATTTCGTATCGGAAACCTAAAGAAAATCCAAGGCAAGCTGCGAAATAATTAAGGATCACGGAGCCCCTCCCCAACGAGGCCCCAGAGGCCGAACAAGCTTCCCCAGAACTCTCCGTCGGAGCTCCTCCTTCCCCGCCGCCCCCGCCCCCCGCCTCGCTCGAGCACGGAACCTCCTCCGCACACTTCGCAGGCCCGACGCCGACGCACAGCGGCGGCGGCGGCGCGGAGCGCCTGGCCCTTGAGGCGCATGCAGCCGTCCACGAACTCGTCGATGGCCACCTCCGCCGCCCGCGCAGGCAGTCTTGTCCGAGGAAGGGGGGGGGGCGGAGGAGGGCGAGGGGGCGAGGGCGAGAAGGAGGGAGGGACGTGGAGGCACGGGGAGGCAGAGAAAGAGGGATGGGGGAAGACGGTGCGGGCGGAGGGAGGGGGAAGGAGGAGCAGCACTTTCACGAGGAGATGTCGGAGGAGGTCAGGGGGAGAAGCAACGGGGTGCAGGTCCTATCCGAGGAGGGGGGAAGGGGGAAGGGGGGAGGAGGAGGGAGGGGGGGCCGACGGAAGGAAGGGAATGGAGGAGGGGAGAGGCTGGGGAATGGACGGCGATGGAGGCTTGGGGAGGGGGGGCCGCTGTGCGGACTACACGCTGCGGGGCCACTTCCTCATCGGGGCAGATGCTCCGCTCTACGCCGCGGAGGCGGCGGCCCCTGCGCCTCCTCCCCCTCCTCCTCCCCCTCCTCCTCCTCCTCCTCCTCCTCCTCCTCCTCCTCCTCCTCCTCCTCATTCTCCTCCTCCTTCAGGCATGCTCCGAAGGCCGCGGTGGTGACTGGACGAGGGCCGCGGTGGTGACTGGACGAGGGGCGCTTCCGGGAGGGCGCAGCAACCGCTGAGCCGGGCCGCCGTGCCTCCGCGGCACGGCTCCGAGCACTGCCCGTGCGGCTGCAGCGGGCGCGCGGGGCGGGCGCCCCCCTGCGGAAAGCGAGCTGCGTGGCGGATCTGCGGAGTGCCGTTGGAGGCACGGCAATGGAAGGCTGGCTGGTCCCGCGTGATGCCGCCTCGAGGCAGCGGGCCCTTTGGGGGCCCTCCCCAGAGCGTGGACGTCCTCCTTGAGAGCCCAGAGCTGGAGCCTGGAGGCAGGGACAGATCGGTCTGCGAGCTTGGCGGCGTACTCAGAACTGTTGAGGTCGCGGGCAAGTCGCCCTCTTCCGTATCTGAAGAATCCAAGGGGCCCCCTCCCGCCGGCATCCTCCCTACAGACCTGGGGTGTGCAACTCAGATTGCCTCTATATTCCCCGAAACGACAACAAGCAATCACGGAACTGTCATTGAACCATTTGTTTGGCCCAAGACATGCTTATGTCTCGATACAATACTCTTTACCACAAGTCCCCAAGAGCGTTTACACCGACCGCCTGCCAAGATATCTGTCAAAAACCAAGTGTGCGTAAATACTGCTGGTGCTGACGCACATTCACACGAACACTGCGCCGGAAAAACGCTGTCTCGATCTGTAGACGTGAGCCAGATCTGACATGGGCTGTTACGATTTCTTCTTCCGCAGCCGGCTCGAGCCATCGAACACGATCAAAGCTAAATAGGCTTCCGCCTTCCCCGCGCGCCCCCGCAGCCTTTCACCTCCTCCTCCTCCTCCTCCTCATGCTCGTACTCCCCTCTCCTCCGCCAACCCCGCCCATATCGTGAATTGGCGGACGAGCGGGGGCATCAGTTCCAATGAAAAAAGAATGCATGGGGTGAGCTGCAGCTCGCCGCTACCGACATCGGCCCGCTCACCACCTCGTTTCGAGACGCCCGAAAGAAAGATGGCGGGCCGAGCCAAGCCTCGTTACTCTCGTCCGAATCGAGGAGCATGAAGAGCACATGCGCCTTAGGTTGGCGCACCCTGACCCGTAGCCCCATGACCATTCCGTGAGCAGGGAATTTGCACAGCTGGCCTAGGGTCACCGCCACGAGAGGGGTGCTGCATCTTCGCTTCGAAGACAAAGACATCCTCATGTGGCCACTGGTTCACACATGCATCCATATGTATCTAACTTCAAATTGCATTCATGCATACTTACACAATGTCATACAAATTACGGGAATACCCACACAGAATGTGCACATGCATGCGCCCGCGCACATCTACGTACCGTCACGCACACACATACGCCATTATACACACGCCTATCACAAAACGCGTGTACACGTATGCGCATGCAGGTATGCTCAAGAATGCTGAGCATGCACACTTTGCACCCTGAGCCGCTGGATGTAAGGGCCAATTGATGGCGGAACGCAACACCACTTCCAATCTCGCATGTGTATGGATATGTTACAAATATTACACTCCTCTCTCTCTCTCTCTCCCTCTCTGCTCATCTTTACTCCACGCTCTTCGACATGTACTCTCTGCTATCTGCTTCTCATTCAGACTGGTCGCACAAGTGCGGATAGTTCGCCGCAGCCAAGACTCGAGAGCACGGAAAGCTTGCAACGTCGGGGATCCGTAACCTGACCCCTGGCCCGCCAAGAACCCAGGACTAGGAACCCAAGAGCCCAACGAAATCGGGCCGACACTTGGAACCGCGACCCCGGCCGCCTGCCGAACCTAGGCTCTCGGTATCCTTCCGGGCCCCTGCAGCGCGAGCGCCGGCCGGGGGCTGTCCGGCACGACCCCTGCGGTGCAAGCGCCGAACGGGAAACCATCATCGCAACTTCCATGGCTGCCCCAAAACGCTGCACTGGGAGAAGCCCATACCCAGACGACGCACCACGCGAGACCTGCCTCATGCCAGGACAGGTGCCGAGTTCTCGCCTCTGCGGGTTCGCCGGCCGCGGGCCCGAGAGCAGGCGGACACGGCCTGGCCCAGCAAGTGGGCGCGCGCCGCCAAGGCAGGGCCCGGACGGCGGCTGCTGGCTGGCCCCCTCGGCCTCTTGGGAGGGCCAGGCCGGGACCCCGGCCGTCGTCGGGCGGGGGCAGAGGTGGGAACAGAGCGAGCCACCAGAGGTCTGGATGCGACGGGGTACGGGGGCAGACTCTCGACCTCCAGCTGCCTTGGTCGCGCGCTGCTCCGCTCGCGCACGTCAAAAGCCGCGGCCTGCCCTGGCCCATGAAGAGAAGCCCGGAGTAGGCAACGCGCCGCCGCCGCCGCCGAAAGAGCGGCTGAGGTCGGGGGTGCGCCACGAATTACCGCGCGCGCGCGCCTGCGAGATGTCGAGCTCCAGCGTCTGGAAGTAGGCCTCTTGGATAGAAGTTGGGGGAGGAGGAGGAGGAGGAGGAGGAGGAGGAGGAGGAGGAGGAGGAGGAGGAAGAGGAGGGGGAGGAAGAGGAGGAGGAGGA